AGATTATAGGGGAGAATAGAGAGAGTTTTCTATCATCCTTTCATTACTATGACAACCTTCATTAAACGGGGAAAGAGAAAGAAAAAGGAAAACAGAACAGAGGAGAAAAGGAAAAAAAGAAGAGAGATGCAGTCAATTGAAGAAGCAAAAGAGGGAGTAGAAAAATGAAAAGAAAAGAACAGAGGGAGTAGGGAGAAAACACAGAGAACAGAGGGAGTTTTCTACTATCCTTTCATTATTGTGAAAGAAAGGAAAAGGAAAGCAGAACAGAGAAGAAAGGAAAAAGAAGAGAAAAAAACAAGAAGAAGCAAGGAAAAATAGGCCAACACCAGCATGCCCATCATTTTTTTCGCCAAAACCAGTAAACACCAGCTGTGTGCTGAAGCTGCAATGCCATCTCCTTTGCTCATTTCAGCGCTAGGTAAGTTTCCATGCATTCTCTACACTTTGCCTTTTAATTACGTAGTTAATATACTTTTTGTGTTTATTGTTCAAGTGAATTATAATTTATTTGAATAATAGCTGAGTTTTTTGTGTCTAGCCAAGTCACTTGCTTAGGCATGTGACTCGGTCGGATCTACTAGTTCCACCCTTTTTTTTCAAATAAAAAAGCGATAAAGATTTATGATTTTCTAACATATTTATTTCAAGGTTTGTATTTTTTTATACTATAAAAAAAATATATCAATCTTGCATTTAGAATACTTGGTTTTCAACACAAATACAGCATGCATACACACACATATGACCAATACTCTAATATATTTTGAACATTTTTTTATGAAAAAATAAATATTTGAGATTTCAAAGAAAATATGTTTTAGCATGGATTTCTTAAACACAAAAAAAAATATTTTCCTGCATTTTGAATTTTACAACATTTTTGTAAATTCCAAAGGGTGTTGGCCAATTTTTAAAAATATAAAAATCTTATTTTTATGAAATTTGTCTTTATTCACTATTAATATTTGGATAAAATAATCCCAAAAGGGTTAATATCCAAAATATTATTAGAAATAATTTGCTATTATTCACTATTAATATTTAGATAAAGAAACCCTAAGTGGTTTATATCCAAAATACTTTTATAGAAATAATAAATCATGATTATTTGTTAATCACATTTCCTTAAAAGAGTCTCGATTATAATTGGGGATATTTTAATTTTTGACTTCACGGTTTATGAGCCGTGAAAGTATGAAATACTAAGGAAAAAAAGGCTTATAAAGCACCTTGTGTTTCCTTAGATTTCTAACTTAGTTTCTTTTTGTTTCTCTTCCCTGCGATTTACGAATCATGAACACTTGAAATATTAAAGGGAAAAATGAGCTTTTAAGCACATTAAATTTCATTGATTTCTATCTTAGTTGTCTGTTAATTCATAAGATGTAAATTTATTTCAAATCGAACATAGATTTCAAGAGATCTTCATCGTTTCTCCTTAGCAGTCTAAAAATATATCTAAAGGTATGATACATATTGGTCAAGGATTCCTTCTTTTAGACTTTGAACCCAAGTTCATTCATCATAACAAACTTATCCTAGGAAAACTAATTAGAGAATGTCAACACCATAGCAATTATAAGGCAAACCAAACACCAAGCAGCTTACCTTAGGTAGGGCGTACTAGGGGTGCTAAAAACTTCCCTTTACATAACCAATCCCTTGCCTTAGAATCTCTAAAAGACCAGTTATGGTTCCCAGTGATCAGAATACTAGATAGTGAATCCCTTATTCACAAAACAAAGACCTCGAAATATTTCCTCGTTCCTAGGGAAGGTCATCGTGAAGTCTAGCTCGCGCGAGGGGGCGACAATAAATATTGGAATAGATATAAGTACCTTACATACATTGATTTTTATCAACTAGTTATGATATAATTAGAATGAATATGAGTACTTTACATATATTGACATGTACCAAACTTGTGATGATATTATTAGAATCAATAAGAGTACCTTATATATAATGGTATAGATCAAATAATTAGGATAATGTTTGAATGAACATGTGTACCTCGTATATAATGGTATGGATCAAGTTAGTTAGGATAATATTTAAACAAACATAAGTACCTTGTGTACATTGTTATGAATCTAATTAATTATGTTAGTATTAGAATGGATATGATTACCTTGCATAATGTCGCATCCTCGCGGAGGAGCACGACGACCTTTCCTGGATGGGGATATGGTATCGGGGTCTTTGTTTTGTGAATAAGGGAGTCGTCACCTAGTATTATGATCTCCAGAAACCCTAATTGGTCCTTTAGAGATTTTAAGGTAAGGAATTAATTGCATAAAGGTAAGGTATTAGCACCCCTAGTATGCCTTGCCTAAAGTAAGTTGTTTGGTTTTTAATTTGCCTTATAATTGTCATGGTATTGTTGTTGGTGTTCTCTTAATTAGTTTTTCTAGGATAGGTTTGCTATGATGAATGGATTTACGCTCAAAGTCTAAAAGCAAGAAACCTTTGCAAATATGGATCATATCTTTATATATGTCTACAAAGTGCCAAAAAAAACCAATGCAGATCTTTTGAAATCTGTGTTTAATTCAATCTAAATTTATTTAGAAATTCAAGGAGATTCTATATGCTTCAGAAGCTTATTTTTTCCTTAGTATTTCAAGCTTAAATCGCAAGAAGAAGGGGTAAAAATTTAGAAATCTAAGGAAATTTAGGGCACTTTAAAAGTTTATTTTTTCTTTGATGTTTCATACTCTTACGGCTCGTAAACCGTAGAGTCAAAAATTAAAATGTTCTCAATTATAATCAAGGTTTTTTTCAAGGATATGTGATAACTTATTATTTCTAGAAAATTATTTTAGATATTTACCATTTAGAGTATCTTTATCCAAATATTAACAGTGAATAATAACAAGTTATTCCTAATAATATTTTGGATATTCATCCATTTGAGATTTCTTTATTCAAACATTAATGGTGAATAATAGATGAATTCCCCCCAAAATAAGATTTTTGTATTTTTTGGAATATTGACAAATATCCTTTAGAGTTTTACAAATATGTTGTAAAATCCAAAATACAAGAAATTAATTTGTCTTATTGTGTTTAAGAAATCCATATGAAAACATATTTTGAAAACTTCAAATATTTTTTTTAATGAAAAAAACGTTCAATACATGTTAGGATATTTGTCGTATGCAACACACAAGAAAATATTTTTTATATTTTTTTGTTAAAAACAAAATCATCATAGTTAATCGTAATTAAAGACAACAAACCATGTATATATATTCTCAAAATTTAGAAGAAAAAAAATACACACACACACACGCACATCACTTTTACTATACTACATTTACACATTATTTTTACATGATATAAAATACCATAAATTCAAAACAAATCTAACGACATAATATACAACTCAGAAATTGCAAAATAGACCCTAAATATTCAGGAATTGAGGAGGAAGACTTTTGGCAATATAGGAATAATGGCGGCGCGTCGATCTCACATGCCATCACCACTAGCAACACGTGGGTTTACACGCTGTCGCAAGAAAACCCGAGAAAAACTAGAGGATCTGGAATAGCTTCCTCCCTTCTTCCTTTCCTCATTGGCGGTGACAAACACCATTACCTATAAAAGTAGAAAAATACACAAGATAATTGGTTTTAATTTCTTTTTTTCCTTTTTAGATCTGCTCTCGACCTCCTTTCCTTTTTTTCAAGTCTATTCATTCTTTTTTTGGATTTGCTTCACTGTAGATCTATTTTTTTTTTTTGTATTCTTCTCCTTTATTTCAGGTAGCTGGTGACAATAAGGAGGAATGATTGAGATAAAGATGTCGCAGTTGGAAAAAGAAGGCGAGTAGATATGGTCCTGTG